AGGCAGAGGGACCAGTGGGACATCAGTGGTGGTAGTCTGACACTAGAGCAGAGGGGACAGGGCAGGCACTGCCGGGGTTAGGAGGCTGAAAAGACCCAACCTGCTGGGGAGTCAGTGAGGGGAATAAGAGAAAGAGAAAGTCCAGAGTGACTTGCAGGTGCTGACTTTAGAATGTAAATCAACAAGTATATAATGAAAAGAACAGTTAGGGGGAGAAAGTGATGAATTGGGATAGATGTTAGGAATCTGAGTCACCTGCAGGGGCACCCCCAAAGCAGTGTTCAAAGGGCCAGGCTCAGGAGAGCAGCTCGGGCTGCGGCCACAGACAGTGTGGAATGGGCATCTGCGGGGGAGGGCGGGAGGAGGAGGCTGCTGACCAAGACCAACAAAGGAGCCAGAAGAGGAGGAGCAGAAAGAAAAGTCCAGCAAGGGACAGCTAGGGAGGCTCAGTCTTTACTCGCTGGTTCGTAGCATCAAGACTTCAATCCTTCTAAGTCACCCCTGACCCCCTCAGGTTGGGTGACATTCTCCTCTGTGGACCCCTGTGACTCATGCACACCCATTTTAGTGCTCATCACTGCCCCTCTGGTACCTGCACAGGGCCTGGCTGGCAGGCGTGTTTAAAAAACACATGTATTGGGTGACCTGTGCCTCTGCTCCAGAGTCTCCTCATGCATGTGTGTGGCCACCTTCTCCATGAGGCTCTAAGAGGACGGAGACCACGTTTCTTCCCTCTTTGTGAGCCTGGCAATGAGCACACTGCTCTGCGGGGACAGAGTCCTCCACGGGTGTGTCCTGGTGATGACACTGTGGGTGAAGGATTCGGTAACTGCCCACTTTCTTCCACTGAGTGCTTGTGCCAACTTAAGCATGAAAATGGAAACATGTAACTTTTACTTTCTGAGTTTTCCTTATTTGCCAAGTGTTTTGCTTTCCTCTTCCCCTTCTTCCTTGAAACTATTCTGAATTGCCTGATAAACACTGAAATATTGATTTTAAAGCAAACTTTGAAAACAGATAAAAGCTCTGCAAACAACTTTAAATTTCTCTAGAGTTTTAAACCCATTCCCCAACCATGAGGTTTTCTGTACATGATTTTCTTGATCTTACTGCAATCCGCACAACATTCCGTATGCAGTGAGCATGGCTGGAATGGCGACCCCCTTAGAGGTGAGAAGGTTGTGGTGTGGAAACATTCATTCAATGACACCTGTGCATAGTCAGATAGCATTTTTCATTACCATATGAAGAATATCTGAGACCAACATGTTTTCTATTATACATATTTTTAAAAATGGCTAATTAGCTCGATCCACTCACTGAGTTAAAATTGGATTACACCAAATCTGACTGTCTGATAAGAAGGTGATCTTCTCTGATATTCACCTTCATTGCATCACAGGAATTTGACTTAAGTGGGTTTACTCACCTCAATGTGAGTTCCTGGGGTGGGACACATGAATTCTAAGGTGTGTTCTTTGCCAGAGAATAAAAGGGGCGCTAAGCCCAACTTTCCTCAAAATGATCATTCAGAGCCAGGGTGTTTTTGCCAGAAATATCCAAACAAGTCAGTTGACCTTATTCATCTTTTCCAGTTTATAAGAAAACATGAAGATCCTGAGTGTCACTTTTAAAAAGCAATTTAAGGAGGTCTGCATTAGTGTCTACCTGATTTAGATACATCATACTTTCCATTTACATGTTTCTTCCTCCTTTGCACAAAATAAGCAGCTGGAATTTGTACACAATGGCCTTCTAATAAGGAAAATCTGTGATCATAATCCTCACCATCAGATGGCATATCACTATCACCCAAACTGGACATTGCTGAAAGTGAGAGGGAACACTATCAGTGATTCTGCTGTGACACGACAGGTGTACAGCAGGACTGTCCTGGGCAAATGCACATCAACAACGACTTGACCTTGAGCGCCCTTAGCAGTCAGACCACATGGCAGGGTACTTTCCTACATCACCTCTTTGATTCTAGCCACCACCCGATATGCACGTAACACAGGCACCTTCTCCCCTCTTTCCTTCACTGCCTGGGTCTGACCCTCAGAACAAGCTGAGCTGGAAGAGATGCATCCTTGGGCTGTTCTCTTTGGCCAAGAGCTTCCTGTTATCCAGCTGCTTCAAGGCCATAGGGTCCAAATGGTTCTCACTGGGAGCTGGTTGCTCTTTGATATTTTGTTTCTGGCTTACACTACAATGCTTTAGAACTCCATTTCTCTCCTCTACAGAAGTCAGTAGGACATTCTTCTAATATCATCACCATGTATCCCTTGTGTCCATTCTCACTTAAGAAGAGGCAGAAGTTTGGTCTCCCTTGAGTGGTGTTTTCTTCTCACGGCCAAGACAGTTGTAGAGACAATTACATGTCATTATTTGGAACTCAGGGTGTGGGGTCACATGGCCTAGGCCAATTTTTTGCTCTGCCAGCAAAAATATTCCTAACACTTGGGTCCACCGCTTTCTCACCAGAACACTGAGAGAAATTGAACATTGTTTGTCTCGAGTTTACTATTATGATGTATGTAACTGTGCTGCCAGCAGTTAAAGTGGGCTGAAATTCACAGTGCAATCTCACTACCTGAATTTGATAGGCTTGTCTTGTGATCTTATCAGTCATTTGTCCCAGATTCTATTTTTTGTAACCCTGCCTTTCATCACCTATTTCTCTATTTTACTATGACAGTGTTAAGATATGGCTAATCCTTTCTGGAATAATGAATAAATTGAATGGGCAGACAGAAAACACTATCTTCTGTCTTTGCTCTGTAAGGTGTTCAAGTGTGCACGCACTGGCCACATTTTTCTGGAAGACAGGACTGCGAACACAGAACGGCTGGGCCCCGACAGGTGCACATGAACAAAGGGCTCCTTTAGATCATTTCTCCAGGTCCTCAAAAAATCTCAGAACAACTAGTGCAGGCACATGTTTCTTAAATCACACATTTCAAAGTAAACTTGCAATCACTTTAACAAGTCAATGAAATATGTTTTCTCCATAAAATTTATAGAATGTCTTTATAATGGATAGAAACCAAGCTACGGACACAGGCTGAAAGAGCTGTCAAAGGCAAGACTTCCAAGGCTTTCTTTCCCAGACCTGTTCTCCTCCTACTACTGCTCATCGACAGTGCCAGGGACTCACCCCTTACGCGCTCAATGGTTAACAGAATCCATGCAGTTATACAGGCTCAACAAGGCCTATCAGCCCAAATCAAATGGGGCACTAAATACCCAAAAGAGCATTTCAAAATAAACTGGCTGTACTTTGTACATATATGCCCAATAGCCATTTAAACGAGAGAACCACCAAAGGTGAGAGAGAAATGTTAATAGACACAAGACTTTCTACTACACCCCCACAGATACCCACTCATAAAATGTTTGCGTAGCAGATAACAGTTTAGTGCATTGTAGTAAACACTGACAGGATACAAAGTCTTCAGTTTTAAAATTATACTTCTCAATGCAAGATTCCTGCCCTAGACTCTTAACATCTCTTGTACCTACTTAGTAAAATAGATCCTAGATATAAAAATAAGTTTGAATCTGTTTTTCAGGCCTATAGTTTCCTCTCTAAAATAGAAATTAAGGTTATCACAAGGGAGATTCTGCCTGGGTCATCTTGCAAACAGAAGATGAAGTTAAAGCCTCATTAATATCTGTGCCGTGGACTCTCTATTTGAAAAAACTGCACCGTGGACCCCACCCACCAGGGCTCTGTCCAGGAAGTGCTGACAGATTTTGCTGTCCTGAGTGCAGGAAGTGACCGTCCTGGGCAAAGGCAGATGTACTCCTAGTAGAATGACTGGTTTTTATCTGATGTGACTACTGTGAGTAGCCTAATGACTACTTGCTAGGTCTATATCCCCTATATCTAAAGAAGAGTACAATTTGACTGAGGAAAAACAACTGAACAGAGTTTTCAAATAAGTCACAAACCTACCCATGACTTAGCCAGTGGCGAGAGACACTTTTAGCTTTTGACATGGGTTACAGAGTTAGCAGTCTCCCCTAAAACAACTTGTCTCAAAAGTACTCTGACATTTTCTAAATATAAATATAGCAGATAGTGTTATTTATATTTCAAAAAAGGAAATAAAATATAAGGAGGTGAGATTTCTGTTCTTATACACTTTCATCTGGCTTTATTGCTCTTTTCGATAAAATGGTATTTTAACGTCATTTAAGAATTGAATGGTAAAAACAGCTAATATTAAAAATCACTTTTACATAGACTTACTGATTACACCTGCATTTGTTTTCTTTATTGTTTTATTAAAGTGTGTGATTATTTCATCCACAAGTGTTACCCCACTAAACCTAAGGCTCCAGGGGGACATTTCCGGGAAATATGAAGAGAGGCTTCGCTGATTTGAAAAAACCATTTGGCTCTTTTTGTTCTTCTTGGCTTATGATAATCTACTGGGTTAAAAATATTTTAAATGCCAGTTCCAAGGCCTCCAGGAAGTAAACTTTTTAATTATTAACCATTAGTGGTATTAAAATATTTATATGCCCTTCAGTTCTACGTAACTGACTTTGGTGGCACGGAGAGGAACGGAGGCGGCAGTTTACCAGGCACTCGCAGACAGCAGCAGTACTGGTGCCTCTGAAAACACAAGGCTTCAGAGACAGCTTTCTTCTGTGACCCGCTATGGATTTGTCAGAAATCATTTGTGTGAATGGAAGGAATTTACCACCACAAGTGAAACCAGTCCGAGTCTCAAAACTGACTAAGTAAGAGATCTATTGTCTGGGTTACTCCCACAACAAAGCTGCAAATCTTAGCCATTTTTAGTGCTCTGCAGTGCATTCTGGTCAGAGTGGAAAAGCACTGTGTTTGCACACCAATGTGTCCCTTTAGGGGTGTGTTATTTTCAGTTCACAACTTAAGGTAAAAGACTGGGAAATGATTCAGGATGAACAAGCAAGTGCATTCACTTATATTAGTTTCTGTCAAGTGAAACTTATATTTATAATTTTACCTGATTTGTCCACGAACCAGAGGTCTGTTCTTTGTCCTATTCATGTTTGAATCAAATGGCACCTCAAAAAACTGCAAAGAAGTTGAAAAAAGATAGAAAACATTAAATATAAAGTGACACAAGTCTTCTGCTTTAGTTCTACAAATTTTTCCACAGTAAATTTGATTTTAATTTTGATTGTACAAATTAACACTCTTGGTCCTCTTTGGAGGAAAAGTTTCCTGGGGCAGATGCATTTTAAAAAGTAGACGCATTGTCAGGAATACATACAGTTCCTCCTTTATCTGCTTTGAAAACCACTTGTTAAATGTACAGCTGCATTCTTCAAAGCCACTGTTTCAGGCTGTAAGAGGGACATTTTCATCCTGTTTGACATACACTGGTTTTGCTTTTGCTTTATCTGAAGTTAAATGTCTGGAAGCTGTAACTGAGTGCCAAGCCTACTAGGTGAGCCCTGACAGCTGTGATGTGTCAGTTCAGCGAGCCTGGAACTAGGCTGCCTGGAATTCCCCTTGCTGTACAGCTGCTGTAGGTTAGGGAGAGCCACAAGTGGCACCTGCATGAGATCTGAAAGGTGGAAATACAGCAGCAGCCAGGCTTACACGTGGAAAGTTGGTGTAAGGTCAGGCACTAGTGCAGCTCACACAACTGTAGATCTGTTGGTTTGCCTTATTGGCTTGGAGCAGCTATAGCTTCTGTCTGCTTCTCATAGTCCTGGGCCAAGCCTACATGCTGTTCCCTGAGGAAGGGCCCTAGCTTTTCTGCAGGTCACCTGCATCATCCAAGTTGTAGGCTAGGAAGTGAGACACAGTTCCAATCTGTTCTTATGAGATTCAGCTCAACCTTGCAGGTGCCAGGCTGCTCTCACTTTCTGCTACTTTCCTGATTGATGGCTTTGCTTATGTCAGACCAGCACCAGGTACAGGTTTGCCGATATTACCAAGACCGCTTAACCCCTGGGGTCACACCAGGCCTACCCTATACCTCATTCCACATACCCACTCACAGTGATTCTGACCTTCTGACCAAACCCTGACTAATACCAGCTTCTTCTCTATTACTTTCAATAGTGCCACTATTTAAAAGCATTTAACTTTTCAATACGTTCATCTTATCTTATGATCTAAATGGCAGGCTTCCTGACATACCTGAATTTACATTCTTTTTTTTTTAAGATTTTATTTATTAATTTTTGGAGAGGGAAGGGAGGGAGACAGAGAGAGAGAGAGAAACATCAATGTGCGGTTGCTGGGGGTTATGGCCTGCAACCCAGGAATGTACCCTGGCTGGGAATTGAACCTGCAACACTTTGGTTCACAAGCTCGAGCTCAATCCACTGAGCTACGCCAGCCAGGGCTTGAATTTACATTCTTAATGTTAAAGAGAGCTATGCAAATAGGCACTCAGTACGTAATTTTTTAAATAAACCATCAGTGCAAAAAACACGTATCATTTTAAAATAATACATAAATTTAAGTGTTAAAAATTCTTTGCCTCTAAGAATCTATAATCTTTATTGAATAGTTCAAGTTACATGCAATTAAATGTTTTGTCTGTTTACTCCCTCTCTCCATGCCCCCAAACTCAAACAAGTTGCATAGGTATTTGAAATAATCTTTCCTTCCTGACTATTAACTTAATTTCACAGGACTAATGAGGATTCCAATTACAGATGACATTATTGAGATGCTGGCAAGGTCAGAAACTCGTGGATAAGTCACTATCTTGGCAGTTCTCAAGTCTGTGTGTAAGTAAGTGTGGGTGCACAAGCAAATTCCTGCTTCAGGAATTCTAGTGAATTATTTTATCCGAATGAAAACATATATCACTTTTTTCTATATTTCTGGTGAATCAGCCACCTGAAGGTGAGAGCTGAGGTGTAGCATGTGTCCATTGAATCCCAGGGCGCTGTGACTGGGCAGCAGCTCCCGACTCCTGTGAGTGCTTCAATTCTTCAGGACAAGCAACGTCTGGGGAGGAGAACAGTGTTGACCGAGACTCAGGATTCACATGAGTGAGGGCTCGGCAGTTCTTCCAGCACAGAGGGACAGGAGCTCATCATGCTACTTCATTCAGTTTTTCATGTATTTTCCATAGTGCCTTTTAGTCAGGTTTACTGCTTTGGTTTAAATATTTAAACCACAGTTTCAAAACATAAGCATAGTACATTTAGATGAGAAATTTAAACACTCTAGAACCTATAGTTTGCTTTAGTCTATTCACAATTTTTCCTATGCTTCGTCAATTTTTAAAATATTACCATTTCAGCTGGATCCAACTACTTCTGAAGAAGTGAGGTAAAACTCCTCTTCTAGGCATTGAAAATGGAATGCAAGTACAGTATTACCAACCCTTAGAATACAAATGTCCTGTTCTGTCCCTTTTTAACACTTCCTCACTACTCCCAATACCATCAGAAGCGATGTGCTGCGGTGAGCACAACCCGGACAGCGGCCCAGACCGCACTGCTTCGGGGCCGGCCAGCCCGGGCTCACCCTGCCTTCTTTCAGGAGGCTCTGTTCTCTGGGTCCCAAAGGGACATGTGTCCAGATACGTTCTCTCCCTCCCTCTCTGCCCCCGGCAGTGATTGGTTTACCAAGTGGGTATCCGATTCAAACTGGGCTAATGGAAGTTCTTCCGGGAATTTACAACTAAAGCCCTGGAAAACATGCCCTCCCTCCTCTTAGGTTGCCTGTGCCCACAAAACGTGACATAAGGGGAGTGGAGGAGAGACCCAACCTTGACTCCTTGGGACAAGTCATGTCCATGGCTCCAGCTCTGCTCTTTCCACTTTAAGTTAACCTTGTGTGAGTCTATACCTCTTGCACCCAATGTCCTAATACATGAAGACTAAACATTTTAAACATCTGAGCTACGTATGGTAGAGAAGTAAATGCCATGATTTTTCCTTCAGAACACAACTTATTTTTTTGTCTATGTTACATTTTCAAAAGAAGTTTTTCTAGTCTTCATAAAAATCCATCAATCTTTTGGGATTATATTCATTCAAAAAAATTTCCTTTTTTATTCAAGTTCATAATCTCACCATCTTCCTTCCAGTCAGTCAGATAATCCTCCCCATTTCTTGCCCTCCAGCAATCTGATGATCTGTTATATCACTCAGGCTCTTGGGGTTGCAAATAATAAAAACAAAAACCAAAAACTTAAAGTAGCTCAAATTAAAATGGGGCTTTATCTCTTACAACAGGGTTGGACCTACTTTTACTTTTTTTTTTCTTATCATCACTCAAGGACATTTTTTCCCCATTGCTTTTACAGAGATAGAGGAAGGGAGAGACAGAAACATCGATGTGAGAGAGAAGCATCGATTGGTTGCCTCCCCTATGCATCTGAACTGGGGATGCTAGTGCCCAGATCCAGACTGGGCTGGGGGATCAAACCTGCCACCCAGGCCTGTGCCCTGACCAGAAATCGAACCCACCACCTTTTTGGTTACAGGATGATGCTCCAACCAACTGAGCCACATGAGCCAGGGCAGGGCTACATCAGCTTTTAGATACTACTGGATTCAGTATCAAGTGTGCTATCAGGACTCTAGCTTGTTCCATCTTTTGAATCTGCATGGCGTATTCCTGCGTGCAGGCTCTCGCCATGAAGCAGGCAAACCGTCAGACAGTCCCAGACTCTCATCCTCCCAGCAAGCCTGGCAAAGAGTGAGCTCCTGGTGGCTCCATACATCATCATGGCCATGGCTCAAGGTGACTGTCTTGTGAGTCTGGGAAGTGTGTTGGTGGAGATAGATACAATGACATAGTACCCCTCTCAAACTACAAGCATTATTTTTTCTATAGGAGAGAAAAATTCTATTACCAGACCAAAGTGGGAGGAGTCAGGCAGACAGATGTAGTGAAATTATTTATAACTTACTATAGAGCTGACAACCCCAAATCATTTCATATCACATGTCACACATATAAAATAACTTGCCTATCATAGAAAGAGTACTCCTAGTTTAAGTATCTGAAAGTTAATAATCAATAAAACATAATAAATTTATATTAACCTCTGTTTCATAATTGGTTTAATAATTGTACTTAATAGAGTAGTAAATGGATCATTTTCCCCCTCACAGTCACATGATTAAGATACAGGGCACTATTATACCAATGGATAAATATTTACTGAATGCCTATTATAACCTGTTTGTTTTCCTATTACGTTTTTGTATTAGTAGATTATTACTGCAAAGAAATGATGCTCAGATATAGCATATGAACAGAAATCCTTCTAAAAGACACTATACACTTAGGATATTATCGAATTTTATAAGCTAAAATGCAGATACCCAAAGTGGAGAGAAATATAACTTGGTCCAAGTGACCAAGTTTTTGTCCCTACTTTGATTAATTATGCCCTAGGAAAAAGTAGATGGATTCTAGGGATGTTTGTCAGGCTCAGAAAATAATGGATGTGATAATGAGGTGCAACTCTTTCTTTCTCTATGCCAAATAATGAGAGCAACATTCCTTCTAAATACTCAGTAGAAACCAAACATTCAAACTCCATCAGAGTTTGTTTTTCCATCCATCAAGTGTTTGTCATTCTAATACGGCTAACAGTTTCCAAAATCCAAGATAGCATCTCAATCAGTCTCAGACCAACTTAAAGGGATGTTAAACAAAATAAATAAGTAAAGTCCAGAGGAGCACCTTTTCCAGCAGGATTCTACATATCATTACTTTCAGCTTCCCAATCAGTTAAAACACCTATTCAGCCATTGCTCTTTCATTGTGACCTGTGTTTCATTGCCACACCTAGAGTAAACAGATTAAGGAAGACTCAGTGTTCCCTGTCGACGTTTCCCCAGGAGCGTTTGAAATAAGAGCACATGTGTGCCTGGCATTCCTCAGAAGTGGCTTTTCACCTCATGTGGTGACTGGGGCATATTCTCCTTTCTCATTAGGCTGTATTTAAAAGCTTCACCCTTAAAGAAAAATAATAAAAATGTATAAAAGGTCACCCAACACTTATCAGAGGCCTAAAGTACCACATCCTGTAAGTAAAAAAACCCAGAAGGTCACATTGGTTTTGAGCAGCTGCAGAAAGGGCA